CTTCAATTTTTAGATATATTAATATATATATATATTAATATATATATATTATAAATTACATATATAAAATCCACTTATTATTATAGTGTTATTATTTATATAAGAAAAGCTTCAAATAATAAATTAATACAAAAAATTTTAAAAATATATGTACAATGGCTATAAAAAGTACTTATAAATCATTATATTTATTATACATTTGAATATTAATTAAATTAATTATATTTATATATTATTTTATATCAAAATATATTTCATATTTTATATTAAAAATTAAATGATATGAAAATAAAATGTAGAACATGATAACAAAGCAATTATTAAAAAATAAGAGTATGTACAAATATTTTTTATAGCCACATACTTTGATTTGTAATTATTTTTCTAACCATTGAAAATTGAAAAATATCATTTCTTCATCATAAATATGCAAAATTATTGATGTAAAAATTGTGCAAGATTTTGAACAAGATTTTTTAAATGAATTTTTTTATGTGTTTTTAATTTATAGTACACATAAATGCTAAAAATATAATAAATAATCTATTTTTATTTTATTAAATTTAATATTTATTTTTGATAAACTTAAATTGTTATAATTTCTCAGACGTACTATAAATTTCTATTCAAAAAAAAATCTTATTCTTCTTTCAAATAATATCAAATTGTAAAGTATAATTGTTGAGCCAAATCAGATTATAACAAATTCGTATTTGTTATAATGTATTATCCTTTTTAAATCTTTATCTATATATCATTACCCAGATTTTTTTATTCAAAATTGAATTTAAAATTTTGTACCTTTCAATCAAAAAATTTTTAAATTATATATAATTTAAAATATAATATAATTTAAATTCATCTGGATTTAAAATTCAATATTATTTATAGAAATTAAAACGAAAATGTTGACGCATTACTTCGTCAATCGATGCTTTTCTTTCTGCTCTTTTGATTTGTCATATACATATATATATATAAAGTAGATATAAAAAAAGTATGAAAAAATCTTTTCCCTATTTTTAAAATTCGAAATTCTCTTTTTTCTTATTTAAATAATATAATAATAATTTAATTTTTGTTTAATCTTACAATATAATATTAATACATGATATTTTATATGGAAAAAAAAATGTATAGAAAATTGAGATAAATATAATAAAAAAATTTAATTACAAGTTAAAAGATTGATTAGTTAATAATTTATAAATCAAAGTTTTAAAAATTTCAAAAATTAAAATTTAAGATTTTAACTTATAAAAATTTTAATTAATCAAAAAAATAAGAAGAAGAAGAGGGATGAATATTTTAAATTTTGAAATTTTTGAATTCCAATTTCACGAATGTAAAATTAGGATTCAATCTCTAAAAAAAATATTAGGAATCCTGTTATCTTTTCTAGAACAGGAAGACTTTTTTCTAGAAGAGGAAAAAA